ACTCACTGTACAGTTCAGGCTGCCCTCAAACTTGTGGCAATCCTCCTGCCTAAGCTTCCTAAGTGCTGGAGATTATAGGCGACCACCATGCCCAGCTTAGTAACAATATTAAAATGGTCTTGAAAATTGATCTTAGCTCCCAGGATGGTATGATGGCTACTCCCAGGTTCTCTGAGCCTAGACCCTGTTATTTTGAGTTAGGCTTCTGTAAGTCAGAAATTGTGTTGGCATTCTCAAAAGATGATGTGAGGAACAGTTTTCATTTGTCCCTCAGCTAAGAAGACTTGGGGAGGGGTGAATTGTACCACGCCTTGGAGCAACTTAGGCTTTTCATTGCCTTAAATATGTCTTCTTGCCTGGAGGACAGTATCTGATTCACATATGCTGACATCTGAAGAAATTCTGTTTAGCCAACACTAAAGGAGGCTTATGGAGTTTTCAGGAAGCACACAGTGGAAAAGATAGGCAAGGTTTTTATTTGGGGAAGGAAAAACAGAAGCACCTTAGCTCAAGGAGAAAATAAAAAAAACCTCAAGCCAAGAGTGGTGGCTCACTTCTATAATCCTAGCATATGGGAGGCTGAAGCAGGAGGATTGCTGTGAGTTCAAGACCAGTCCAGATTACATAGTGAGATCCTTGTCTCAAAAAACAAAAGGCCCCCGCTTCCGCAAAAAAAAAAAAAAAAAAAAAGGCATGGTAGAGCACTCGGGAGGCTGAGGCATGGGTTCAAGAAGAAAAAAAAAGAAAAATCTCAATGGTGTGTTGAAATGGAACATGGATTTTTTTTTTTCTCTCTTTTTCCTGTATTTCTGAAACAGGGTCTCGCTTTGCAGTTCAGGCTGACCTTGAGCTCACTTTGTAGCTGAGGCTGGTTTCGAACTCACAATGATCTTTCTGCCTCAGCCTCCCCAGTGCTGGGATGACAGACATGTGCCACATGTGCCACCACACCTGGCTGGAAAATGAATTCTTGCTCATCCCCTTGATGGCGTTAATTCTTGGGGAATATGAGTACATTACTAAGTCAAACAGGAAGTCACAAAAGAACTAGAGTTGTGTGGCCTCACCTGGATTCAGGTTAACATAAATACAGAATTTGTGAGCCGGGGAGATAGCTCAGTAGAATAAGCGCTTGCCTGGCAAATGCAAGGGCCTGAGTTCAATCCCTGATTCTGCCAAAAAAAAAAAGAAGAAGAAGAAAATACAGAATTTGGGATGTTAGGGTAGTCTTGAGCTTCTTTGATGGTATGTTCTGTGTTGGACTGTGTAAGTTACCTGCTAAGGTGCTACTAGCCAAGAAACAAAATTTTACTTATTTATTTATTTTTATACTGAGGATTGAACCATGGAACAAGCTAGGCATGTGCTATATTACTGGGCTATATCCTAGCTCCTTTTTTTTTTTT